TGGCAGGAGAAAGTCAGGTGGGGACGCGGAATTCCCGGGAATTGCCGGGAATTCCAGGCAAATCTCACCCAGGAATCCCCTGCGGCCCTGCCCAAATCCGGGGCTTTGCCCGAATTCCCGGATTTTCAGGCAGCTCTGAGCTCCAAAGGGTTTTGGCTCTTTTCCTGGGATGAGGCCATTGGAATTCCGAGGCCGGAGTTCCTCCTGGGAAAAGCCCTGGGGCTGAGGAGTTCTGGGGAGTGCCGGCTTGTCCTGATGGGAATTGATGGGATTTGATGGGATTTGATGGGATATGATGGGATTTTAATGGGATTTGATGGGATTTTAATGGGATTTGATGGGATTTGATGGGATTTGATGGGAATTGATGGGATTTGATGGGATTTTAATGGGATTTGATGGGAATTGATGGGATTTTAATGGGATTTTAATGGGAATTGATGGGATTTAAATGGGATTTGATGGGAATTGATGGGATTTTAATTGGATTTGGGAATTGATGGGATTTTGATGGGAATTGATGGGAATTGATGGGATTTTAATGGGATTTGATGGGAATTGATGGGATTTTAATGGGATTTGATGGGATTTGATGGGATTTTAATTGGATTTGATGGGATTTGATGGGATTTTAATGGGATTTGATGGGATATGATGGGATTTTAATGGGATTTGATGGGATTTGATGGGATTTGAATGGGATTTGATGGGATTTGATGGGAATTGATGGGAATTGATGGGATTTTAATGGGATTTGATGGGATATGATGGGATTTGATGGGATTTGATGGGATTTGATGGGATTTTAATGGGATTTTAATGGGCTTTTAATGGGATTTTAATGGGATTTTAATGGGCTTTTAAATGCATTTGATGGGATTTTGATGGGAATTGATGGGATTTTAATTGGATTTGATGGGATTTGAATGGGATTTTGATGGGAATTGATGGGATTTGAATGGGATTTTGATGGGATTTGATGGGATTTTAATGGGATTTTAATTGGATTTGATGGGATTTTAATGGGTTTTTGATGGGATTTGATGGGATTTTAATGGGATTTTAATAGGCTTTTAATGGGCTTTTAATGGACTTTTAATTGGATTTGACGGGATTTTAATGGGATTTTAATGGGATTTGATGGGATTTGTTGGGATTTTAATGGGCTTTTAATGGGCTTTTAATGGGCTTTTAATGGGATTTTAATGGGATTTTAATTGGATTTTGATGGGATTTGATGGGATTTTAATGGGCTTTTAATGGGATTTTAATGGGATTTTAATTGGATTTTAATTGGATTTTGATGGGATTTGATGGGATTTTAATGGGATTNATGGGATTTTAATGGGCTTTTAATGGGATTTTAATGGGATTTTAATTGGATTTTAATTGGATTTTGATGGGATTTGATGGGATTTTAATGGGATTTGATGGCATTTTAATGGGATTTCTATGGGCTTTTAATGGGCTTTTAATGGGATTTTTAATGGGATTTTAAGGTGTTTTGATGGGATTTTAATGGAATTTTAATGGGATTTTAATGGGCTTTTAATTGGATTTGATGGGATTTTAATAGAATTTTGATGGGCTTTTAATGGGATTTTAATGGGCTTTTAATTGGATTTGATGGGATTTTAATAGAATTTTAATGGGATTTTAATGGGATTTTGATGAGATTTGATGGGGTTTTGATGGGATTTCTATGGGCTTTTGATGGGATTTTAACGTGTTTTGATGGGATTTTAACGGGATTTTGATGGGATTTGATGGGGTTTTGATGGGATTTTAACGTGTTTTGATGGGATTTTAACGTGTTTTGATGGGCTTTCAATGGGATTTCTTGCGATTTTAGTGGGATCGGACGGCGCGAAGACAATTCCGCGGAGCTCCCGGGTCTCCTCCCGAGCCGAAGGCTCCGGTGATCCCGTTTTTCCCGTTTTTCCCGTTTTTCCGCAGGCGGATCCGGGAAGCGTCTCCCTACGGCCACCTGCCCTCGTGGCGCCTCGTCTCCGTCATCGTCAAGTGCGGCGACGACCTGCGGCAGGAGCTGCTGGCGTTCCAGGTGCTCAGACAGCTCCAGGTGCGCCATCCCGGAATTCCGGGAAAACCCGAGCCCGGGAGCGTCCCGCTGCTCCCCGGGGCTGCGGTGCCTTTTTAACGGGCATTTCTGGAATTTGGATACGGCCCAATGGGCATTTCAACCAGCGTTCCACTAGGATTGAATGGCATTTCCTGCCATTTTAATATGGTTATTTTTTTGGGATTTCAATTTTAAAACATTTTATTGTGTTGTTTTTTTGGGGTTTTTTTTTACATTTTACAGGTCTTTAACAAGATTTTAAAAAAAAAAAATTTAATGGGATTATACGAGCGTTTCAATTAGGTTTGATAGTTTTTTAAGAGGATTTCTGTTATTTCACATAATTTAATCCCGTTTCAGTCAGAGCTGCTGGGATTTTAAGGGGATTTTTAAAAATTTCACATCATTCTAACAGCATTTCAGATTTGCCGGGATTTTAAGAGTGATTTCTGTAATTTTGCCCAATTTAGCCCCGTTTCAGGCAGATTTGATGGAATTTTACCAGGATTTCTGAAATTCCACCCCATTAACCCCATTTCAG